CTCCTCTCCCCCTCCCTCTCCAGTCTGAGGGGCAGTCAGGGTTCCCTGCCCTATGGAAAGTCCAAAGTCCTCCCCGCTCCATCCTGGTCTAGGAAGGTGCACATCCAAACTGGCTAGGCTCCCACAAAGCCAGAACATGAAGTAGGATCAAAACCCAGTGGCATTGTCCTTGGCTTCTCAGCAGCCCTCATTGTTCGCCATATTCATAGAGTCCGGTTTTATCCCATGCTTTTTCAGGATGCAATAGTATTCACCATTCTTTCCCCAAAAATGGGCATATTAGTTTCATCATCTAATAGTAATATTTCACTCTACTAAAGATTTCTCTGTTTTCATTTGCATTTAAAGTTCCACATTCACTCATTTATCGATAGAATTACTGATCATTTATTTCAAATGTTACTGGGCAATTGTGAAATAAAAGAAAACATTCCTTGTGCACTAATTGTCAAAAATTGAATCTTATAAAGCAAGAAGCTGTTTGGATGATTATAGACGACAATTTACAGAAAAGTAGTATATATTGCTGTGCCTCATCATTAGAAGAAATGATAAGAATCATTACCGATTCATACGGTTTGCCTTGTATTGTATTAGATGAGTCTGTACCAATACTGTAGTTGTCAGTTACAATTTATGAAATTTGTGTTCGGGAAGATGTTTTCCCCCTTAACTTTTGAAGAGAATTTCTCTCTGGTCTTAGCAAAATTATGTAGCACTTGGGGATAAAAATGCATCCCAGTAGGCCTGCACTGGAAGCCAAGATGGACAAGACCTCCACAGCCACCATTATCTTGCCCTTGGTGCTGTGGTAGACAGGGAGGAAGGTTATCCAGACACTGCAAAACAACAGCATGCTGAAGGTCAGCAACTTGGCTTCATTGAATGTGTCAGGGAGATTCCTGGCCAAGAAAGCCACAATGAAGCTTGTGAATGCAAGGGAGCCATGATATCCCAGGACACAGTAGAATGCAGTAACTGAGCCCTTGTTGCACACAATGATGATTTGGCCATGCTCAGAGTGCACATCTTTGTCAATAAAAGGAGGAGAATATAGCAGCCAGATTGTAGAGAGAATAATTTGGATGAGCGTACAGATGACAATGATATAGTTGGGAACACCAGAAATCAGAAAATACCTCATCCTTCTTCCAGGGGCTGTGACTTTGAAAGCAAGCAGCACAGTCACAGTTTTAGTCAACACAGTGGAAACAGCCAGAGTAAATACAACTCCAAATGTAATTTGTTGTAGAACACAGGTAGCTGAGTTGGGATGCCCAATGAAAAGCAAGGGACACAGGAAACAAAAGATGAGTGAAATTAGCAAGATGTAGCTGAGATTCTGGTTATTGGCCTTCACAATGGGAGTGTCATGGTGCTTCAAAAATATCCCAAGAACCACAGTTGTGAATGCAGAGAAGAACAAGGCCATTACGGTAAGAACCATCCCTAAGGTGTCTTTGTAGTTCAGAAAGACCACAGCTTTTTGAATACACTGGTTCTGCTCTCTATTTGCATATTCATTCTCGAGACACCTCACACAGTTGTCCATATCTGCTGGAGACAGAAAAGCATGATTAGTCTAATGCACAACTTCTGCCATTTATTGACAGAATATTTCATTTGTGTTGAATAAACATTTTGATATCTGCATTCTTTGCTGATGATGTATTTGTGAGACACTGCTTTATAGCAATACTTTCATTTCATATTACACATTCATTATCTTTATGGGCAATGAAATAAAGCAATATGTTGACTATGTGTTAATGACACCATTTTTATGTTATCAGAAAGCACACATATATTCAATACTTTCTGAATGTTATGATGAATTGACTGAAAGTAGTGAGTTTACAGAGATTAAAATAATCATTGTATTGCACAAATGTATCTTAATATCTCAGATCCCATGGTTACAGTGATGCCTCTGTACATGGTTACAGAGAATCTCCCTCTTCTATGACATGTTTCCTACAATAAGTCCACACCCACTCCAAGAAAGCAACATCTCTTAAATGGCCAATTACTACCACCGTTTAAACTATTATTCAAATATAACGTTCTAAGCAAGGCAAAGGGAATGGGAAGAGGGGCAAGACTTGCTAGGGTCATGTCTATTCTTAGGCTGGCAAACGTCCCTTTAGAATGTGTAAGTTATATGTATTTCTCCATGTGTGTGTACTTGGAAAAGTAAGAATAAAGCTCAAATATCAGAGTTATTTAATTTATGTGGAGGAAGGAGGAAAATAAGTATGAGAGAAGAAAGGTGTATAAGTATAATTTTTATATTTTTAAAAAATATATTTAAATAAAATAATATTTTCATCTGTGTCCTCTTCAGGCAGTATGAATATTTTATCATTAAGCCTTATAAGAAACAATAACCCTATCCTAACGATAGATACTTCTGTACATACTTAGCATTAAAAAGCCCTCTATCTTTATTCTATTAATTTTAGGAACCAAAAAAAATACATTCCTGCCTAATAACAATTTATTTGAGACAAAGACTCTATAAGTGTACTCTGGTGTGAAGTAGATATTGATATAACATCAAGACTATGAAAACAGAAGATTATTAAGGCATGAGTGATAGTACAGATGGTTTGCTTTGCAGAATAGTACTGCATTCATAAGTTGTAATCTTCTACCTGGATAATTAACAAAATGTGAATCCAATTGCTTTTACCCATTGGTTAATTGCAAAGAGTGATGTTGTATTTCTAAATTTTAAGCAATTTTAATCAAGAAAGATAAATTTATGAACACATATTTAGTTAATTTAAGCGGAAGGAAATTTATCTCACTTATTAAAAGAATATACTGTTCTTCTACAATACCTGAGTTCAATTCCCAACATCCATCTTATGTGTCTCACAATTGTTTGTAATTATAACTATAGGAGCATTGAATGCCTCTCACATGCATCTGCAATTGTGTACACATAACCTCCAATCTCATATATATACACATATTTAAAAGATTAGTAAAATATTTTTAGCTTTTGTTGTATTTTGTTGTAAATACCCTTTATTCTTGTATATTTCTATATTTAAAACAATTTAATTGCAGTTTGTTTAATTAATTTGGAGTATGCTCTATGGGCAGGTACATAGGGATCTAAACACAATCTCAATGAGTTGGCAACCACTTTCTACCACATGAATCCAGGGATGAGATCTCAGTTTTTGTAGCAAGAGATTTAACTTGTGAGTCTTCCTACCACATATAAATATCTTTTATAAACATTCATTATATAGGATGACAGGCAATAGGGAAGAAAACTATCTATTTGCCATTTTTAAATAAACAACTCTAAACAATCATTTCACTAATATGAGCTGTGTAGGAGATAGTACCATTTGGGTAATTGTGGCTAGTTGCTTTCACAGGAAACAATTTAAATCCTCTACTCTTTGACATATTTACTGTGTGCTGTATGTATAAATGACAATTATAAGACTCCATATTTTCTAATCATGTGTTAAAACTTATTACACTTCCATAGACTGCAAATTACATAGATCTTTGAAAAAAGTTATCTCTGGTTATTGCTGGATGTCTTCTATCTAACAAAAAACAGTCATTGAAAAATTTACAATGATGATTTTTCCTCATTAATCTTATAGAGTACTTGAGTTTGATTCACAAGCACAAAATAGAGTTTAATGATTCTGATGTCCTAGTCTCTTCTCTGTTGATCTCTGCAACTACATGGTGGCTATAAAATTATATAGTGATATATACAGACATGAAATTTGAAAGAAAATAAATATTAGTGAAGATTTATGACTGGAATAAAATCTATATATAGTTACAGAGGATATTAATCACTAATAAAAATGTTTATAATTTGGTCACAATGTTGTATGAGTGTGAAAACTGTTTCTTTGAGACAAGGCCACCTAATACTTCCAATGAATCAAAGATGTATGTCATGGTATAAAGCACAATTAGTAAAAACTCAAGGTCAGAAATTCGAATTCAACCTGAAGATCTGAAAAGCAAAACAGCCAGCCACTGGTTCTTACCTCAACCTCAGTCTGAAATGGAATCTTGCCTCCAGGAATCTCAGAAAGAGACTGTCTGAAAGCTGTCTCCCCCACATTTTATATTCCCTTCTAAAGCTAGTATTAAAGGCATTCACCACTGGAATAAATGTATGTACCACCGGATTTCTATATTGACTAGGGTTGCTACTGGGAACAAAGGTTTTTTTTTTTTTTTTTTTTTTTTTTTTTTTTTTTTTTTTTTTTTTTTTTTTTTTTTTTTTTTTTTTTTTTTTTTT